AACCGCTTTTGTATGGGGGAAGAAGTTCTAGACCTTTCTGCGGGAGGGCTAAGAGACCTAGAACAGCGCTGGAAATATCAGTCATAGTACTGCGTCTGTAGTGGACCCTTCCAAGTTGGACAGGTTCCATTATAAGCTGTGTTTATGCGTAGTTGCTGCAGTCAAAAATAGTTTATCATCTCAGTTCTCACTCTGCTGTAAGTGGGATTGTAAATCAGGGAATTATTTTGGGAGGGGGTATACTGCAGTAAGTCCTGCCTGTTTTCCAACCCCGAGCACACTGGCGCCAGCCCTGTGAACTCTTAGAGAAGAGCAGCAGTAAAGTTCAGTGCAAATTTGATTTTAATAATGAAAAGGAAATGTATTGGAACAATTACAGAAAGTCATTCACAGTGAAAACGTCTAAATCATCATAGAAACCTTTCCTCTGTGTGTGCAAAATTTGCTGCCTTTAAAAATAACAGGTCTGGTCCTCTTAAATGCACTTTCTATTACCTCTTTCTTGTGCCTGTTCTCACAGGCAGTAGCTTTTTCTTTATGACTGTCTTGCTCTGCAGGAGACCTAGATTGTATCTTCAGAGGCCAAAAAGGTGAGGAAGATGCTGAGAACAGCAAGCAGCTTCTGCTGATTTAGAGTTCCCATGCTGGCAGATGCCGATGAGGGCGTAGGGAAAAGTCCCCACGGTACTCCATAGGGGAAGAAAAGGAAACGCCTGTAACCTAAGAACTGGCTTCTGCCGCCAAGAGGGGAAGGGAACCGCACCAGAAAAGGAAGTAAAAGTGGGAAGTGAATGTGCAGCATCACCACGTGAAGAGCCTGTGCTTCTGGTGCCTGCTGCAGTCTCTCATTTTCTGCCAAAAGCTACCCGGCAGGTGGTGAGTGCTTGGCGTGAAGTCCCCTGCAGCAGCTATAGCACGCACGGAGAGGCCAGCCTGGAGAAAGAATCACACTTCGGACAAAAATGCCAAAGCGTGGCAAATAGAGGGATCCACATTCACCTGTAAACTCTGATCCTTAATGGGGCTTTTTTGTTTGTTTGTTGTCGATACAGTAGGGAAGACGGGAAAAAAAACTACAGGACTTGTCATTTAATCTAGTCTTAGGTAAACAGCTTTGCTACATCTCTTTAATTACAGCTTAAAAATGTTCTGCTAGTAAAGCATATTCCTTGGGCTCGTAGCTGAAATCTGGACTGCCTGCAGTACTGGATACTCCCTGCAACAGGTACTTCAAGTTCAGAGGTGAGGAAATCAAATTCAAAGGCTGAATCTTTAGACAGGGCCCAAGTTTCTTATCTTGGGGGGGGCTCTCCTTTCTAGAGCCAACATTGCACAAGAAATGGAGTGTGGGTTTGCTATGGTCACAGGAATTCATCTCTCTGATGAAGCTCCTAGAGCTTCTTTGGATCCTATGTGACATATGCTGAGCTGAGTCCTAGAATCTACTGCCAGTTTTCAGTCTTGTCCTGATTCCAGGCCGGTCCTCTCTTGAACAACAGTGAGAAGAGGGGAAAAAAAAAAAGACCATTTGCCAGCAGCAACCTGAAGAAATACTTCTCACTGTCTACCATCATCTGCAGCAGTTCCCTCTGCATGGACAGTAGATGAGTCTCAGTGCATTTTTGGTGAGCTGTGCCCTGTGCTCCAAGCCTAGCCTTCCCACCGTCATCAGCCCGATGGCTTGAGAAAAAAAGCACTGAAAGTAGGTTGACCCTGAAGAGAGATGCAACTCCTGACTGCAGTGGATGCCGCAGATGCTGGAGGCCCAAGCCCCTCTGCCACAGTTATGGTGAGTGGTAACACTTACAATCACGTAAAAGGAGGAAAAACTCTTGACCAGCTTCAACTGGTCATGTTGGGAATCCCAGACTAGGTGAGCTGTGTGAGGACTGGGGGGCACCACACAGTGTACTGGCTTCAGAATTAAGGTGTCATTTCCATTAGAGTAGCTCAGTCCTCTCTCTCTCTCTGGGACATCACCTTTAGATGTCCAAAAAATCAAGTCCAGCTTCATTCTGGGAAGCAAAGGCCAAAGCAGAAGAATGCTCGGTAACCGAAGGTGCCCAGTCATCCTTAGGGGCCACACTGCTCCCTCCTACTGCCTGGGAAGGAGTTGAAGCAACTGTCAGGCCTGCTCTTCTCCCTCATTGGAAACATGCCGGTAGCCGGGGTGCTGAGACTGTATGCGAAAGAGTACAGTCAAGAGGAGGATTATAAGGAGAAGGAGAATGGATCCACACACAGCCAGACCCACAAACAGTTCTGTAAGGGAGAAAACAAGTGGTCAACATGGTATCGTCCAAGCCTTCCCCTTCCATCATGTTCTGGTCCAGCCTGGGCTCACCTGTGTCGCTCATGCTGCTTGGTACCTGGCATTCTTGCTCCCAGTCCTGGGGAATAACAGGATCTGTGAGTTCCAAGAATCTTTGCAGTGGGCATTTACTCTGACAGCCAGGGATTGTCAGTGGGAAAGGTTCCCTCCCACTCTCGTTCCGGAAAAACATCTCCACAGAGAAGTTACTGAAAACAAAACACAGCTAGGTTGGGTTTTTTTGTTTCGTTTTGTTTTAACTCCAGCTGTAGTCATCCCTTCCCAAAAACTCAGTGTGCACACCCTTTCCTTTATTCTGGTGGTAGTTTTCCTCCTAAGAGTCTGCCACTAGGAGCAAGATTGCATCCCCCTAGGGTGGAGCCTAGCCTCAGTATCTAACCCTTGAGGTGAAATCACAGCAGATGTCTTTACTGCAGCCCTCACCCATCATCCTCTTGGTACAGCTCAAATAAATGACATGAGGCGTATGGTGCTTGAATCTTGTTGTAGACATCTAGAGCCATCTGCAGTGCCACAAGTGTGGTGTCATGCTGAGAAAGAGGGAAAAAAACCAAATCAGTCACCCTAATGGATGTGGCAGGGCAGCTCAGACCGTACCAGTAACGGACAGGGCAGTGCTGAGGGGACGTCACCTTTGTAACTTCCATCTGGAAGAAGGGAGAGGAACTGTACTGCTAGAACAGTGATCTGTGCCAGTGCCAGAGAAGGGGAGGAAGTGAAACACAGCCATATATATATCCTGCATTGGTCTTTAGGAATTAATCTCTAGGGAGCAATCTGGGAAAGACACTTGATTTTCCAGTCAGTAGGCTCTGGGAAAGGGGGGATGATTCCCTATCTACACTGCTGAAACATCACATCTGAGTAGCATCAACCCATCTACCAAACAAATACAGCAGTGGCTCCCCAAAGTCTGCCAGTCTTATCCTCAAGCCTGAGCGAACAGGAACAAAGCGCAGGTTGGGAATTTTCCTTGGGGGCCCCAGAGGAATGATGCCAGATACTGCACATCCCGCCCAGCCAGAGGCAAAGATGCGTGTCCTGATCACTGCATGGGCTGTAGAGAAGCCAGAAAGGATTAAAACTGATCACCAAGCCCCAATCCCCTGTGAGGAGGATGAGATAGATAAAAGCTAGCCCCCAAGCTCTGACTTACCGCTGAATAGGCAAGTAGTTTCAGGTTCTGGTGGGCAGAAACATTTGCTGCTTTGATTAGGTTTTTCCTTATGTGATCCAGCAGGACCCCTGAGGAAAGGGAACAGCTGGTAAGAGGCAAAAACTAGACAGAGCAGCAAGGAGCTCCCTCCCCAGAGCACTCACCGCCTTGCAGACGTGCTTTTTCTACCCGATTGTGGATTCCAAACAGAAATTCAAAACCAAAGTCTTTTAGTTGCTTCAATTGAGTCATGACATCTGGTGTCACCCATACAGGCAAATCCATTTTGTGTGCTTGCTAGAAAGAGAAACAGAATACTCATCCGCAGGTAGCACGGATCGCAGATTAATCAGAGAACAATGGGAGTCAGGGTGTCTAGAGTCCTGCCCATACTGTTACTGATTTCCTATATTATTTTAAATTTGCCCCTTTCCTATTTACGCTTCTGTCCTCACAGTGCTGTGCTGCATACAAAGAATACACGTGGGCTTTAATGTTGTTTAAGAAACTAACAATGAGAAGCATAAAGATTAAACTCTAGAGGCCACATTTCTGTGAAAGCACAACTGGAGCGCAGGGTTGTGTTGTAACACCAATACGATAATCTCAGGGTATTTACTTTACATGAGGCTGATTCTGCCCTGCAGGTGGCATGCAGTCAAAAAAAAAACAAAACCAAAACAAACAAAAAACCCCAAAAAAACCCCAAAACATGAGCAAGAGAGCACAAACTCAAGGTTTATGGTGTACCTGCAGCACAATTTCCCCAGAGGGTCTGAGGGCCACTGAAGGATATTGGAGAAAGTTCGCGAGCGCTCTGCAGAAGTAATACTGGGATGCACCACTGACAAAGCCCCGTACTCAAACCCAGAATATGCAGAACTGGGAACGAAGTGAAGAACTTGCTTTGCAGCCAAGCCATTACAAGAAAGGATTAGTTATACTGGCAGACAAACAGCAGTTGTGGTTCCCTGGCATTCCTCGGAGCAATTTTCTATGCCACATTAAACTGCCAGAAGATGAGACCGAATACTCTCAAGGGCCCATTCTGTCTGAGCAGTTTGGTGAAATTCCCATCAGCAATGTAGCTACTTTTTCATTAATTTATAAAGAGAATAGCTGGTAAGCTCAGCTATTTCTTGGATTTTTTAATTTTATTTTCTCCATCCAGATAGTAGAATGAATCTACTGGCTCAGGTGAGAAAAACAATCCTTCTCTTCAGGGCACTGTTTGTATGAGTTAGAAAAAAGGGAGAAGCCCAAAGCAGCTGAAGAGACTGATCAGCCTGAGGGTATAGTTTTGAGACTAAAATTCCCCTTCCTCAAATCGTTCTGGTTTCATCTTGGGACAGTGAGCTATTCTCCAAGTTCTGGGGGATTATAGTGGTGGTCAGCCAGCTGGCTGGCTGGGCCCAATCTGCAAACCTGTTAAGTGAGTTTTGAAAATGAAGATTTGAAATTCTTGATTTCTCTGACCAAAGGATTTTTTGAAACCGACAGAAGTTGCTTCACTGTGGTAGTTACAAGACAGGAGATAGGGTTGGTGATACAAAGGACAAATTTACATAGTGCAGTGCAGCTCTGCACTCTTCTCACACTTAGCAGCAACTCAAGCTGCTACTGTGCACAGCAAAGTGCAATTCCATGCAGATTTATCTTTTACATCCCCAAAATAGTACGTTCCGCTGTATACCACTGCCAGCAAGCTAAGCAGTCTTGCACCTCCATAGACTTAACGTGACACAGTGTCAAAATGCTTGGGTTTACCACTGCTTCCACAATTGGCTTCTTTGACATGAAAGATCTCTATAATCTACTTCATCATGCTGTACAGTTATACACAAATAAACTTGTGTGCAACAGCTGTAAGTCTCCTGGATACGTCACCTTTACTTTAGCATCACCACAGCACAGCTAACCTGATTTTTTATTTTGTTTAAGCCTCCATGAGATGTGCTTTCAACAAAACTCCACGTGAATATAGAGTTTGGTGCCCCACCCCAGAGAGTAGAAGGGTAACATCCATCTCTAGAGTCTTTCTCTGGTAAAGAACCTTATAATAGTTCAAAAACCAGATGTGGGTGAACTCCACTTAACCTAGACAAGCGTTGTTTTCTTTTAGAGGTGGCATTAAAAGAAACACAGGAAGAAAAGTGATTGATCTAAAGTAACAGAGAGGGAGAGGTAGAACCAGGAATAGTCCTAATTTAAGCTCCCAATTAAATCATAAAGTTAACACTTCTTCAGTTTCTGGCGATCTCATTTCTACCTTACTTAACTCAGACTTCTCCAGATATCTAAAGATTTTAGATTGCAGTGATTTTCTAGTGACTTTCAAAAAGAGATATTTATTACGCAAGTGGGACTTGTTCTGGCTCTGGCACGATACATATCTAAGCTACAAAGTGGGAGGTTATAGGGTGCAAAGGTAGGTAATTCTTGGCACGTGCCTCTAGTGAGTAGGAGCTGTTACTATTCTGAAATCAGAACATTACTTCTAACTGTAGGGTGGGAATGGTGAAAAGTTGCCTTATGGGATTTTGCAAAATAATTTTCTACCAAATCCAGCGAGTCCTAAAGACCAAATTCCCGTAGCTGTAAGATGATGGCCAAGCTTACTTCACAGAACAGCGTGTCATACACACTCCAAACAGACTCAAGAGTGACATCGCGGATCCCAGTCTCGTTTGCCACCATCTGCAGGAATTGCTGTAGGTATGAGAAAAGAGAAAGGCCTTCAGTTTTCCAATCTCGTACTGTATTACATGCACAGGTATTCCTACCCTTTTCTCAGAGCTCAGACTATATAGAGGTGATAATACTTTAACTATGAGCCTAAACCCACCTTATCTCATGCAAACAATCACTTACCCAATTCTCTTTGGTCTTATTTATGTACTCTGCTGAGTGCCGTGTTTCGTTCTGTAGCTGTTCATACCGTGGACAGGGGGTCAAAGGAAACTTCAGTAGCTGGGCAGAGACAAGAAGAGCAGCTAGGTCACTGAGAACACCAAAGTACAGAATTTGCAGCTGTGATGAAACCTCGACTAGCAGGATGCATCTATACACAGCCTCAAGTACTGCCTTCTGACATACTCCACATCACGTGTGGTCTGCTGAGGTGTTGCAGCTAACGTGTTGAGTGAACACGGCCCCTGAATTCTCGTCTTGTTCTGAGAACCGAAGAACCTTTGCAAGGTAGGTCCCAGGAGAGGTTCAAGACAATCTGAATCACGACTGAAGCAAAGACTTTTGAGAATTCAGCGTAAGACACTATTTGAGAATTCAGTACATATCCTTGAGACAACTTACCCTTTCCTCGGACTCGGGCACTGTGTGCACGGGGATAGGCTGCCAGGAGATGTTAGGGTTGAATATCTGTTGTCCCTCTGGGGGATACAGGCCGGCCAGATTGGCCTCCGCACTCATCAGCGTCCGATCACAATCTGTGCTGCGGATGAAGATCTGCCAGGACAGGGACAGCGCACCATTAGTAATGCCACTGTAAGGGGCGATGCTGGGACACAGGACGGCGCGCTCGCTGAGGAACACCGCCAAGTGCCCTGCAGCTGCTCACGGACAAGAAGATAACAGGAGTTGAAGTGACCAAGCTTGCTGATGTCAGCCTGGACAAAACTGTAAGGACGGACACAAAGACACTTTGGTGTGTAATACTGGAGCAGCCTGTTCGGGATCAGTGGGATAGCCAGATGCACTGCACGGAGGTTACAGGTAGAAAGGAGTCTGAATATGAGGAAGAGTCAGAGAAGAACAAGACAGAGCTGCAGATAATGATGGGCACAGATAAGAAATGCGCTATATTTACGGAGCAGGACTGGGGCAAACTGCTGCATTCAGTTCTCAGTTCTAGGAATGACCTGCCGAGCTCATGAAAAAAACCTGGCTTCTCCAAGCCTTCTTTTCTGTCTGAGAAATGAAGACAAGAGTGATCCGACTAACAGGAGAGGAAGAAAAGGGGGAGCTGGGATTTTATTTGATTATTGTGGGCTCTTGGGATTAATGGGCCAAGACTTATCATTCCAGAGCTCAGAGAGAGAGATTTAAGCCAGAAAAAAGACCAACGAGAAAAATACAGAAAAGTTCAGAAGGTCAAAATGGCAAAACTTTGGTATTCTGCTATTATGTAGTGAAAACGCTTAGGGGGACATTGGAGAGAAACCAGTGATAAAACAAGAGGAACAGATAAAAAATCATGAAAGAATGTCCTAGAAAACAGCATGTTAAATCTGAAACAACAGGAATAAAAAGCCCGAAGAATGAAATACGTCAAGATTGGGATTTTTAATTTTAAATGAGGAGAGAGAGAAACATAAGAAAAAAATACATATGCTCACTCTGTACAGCATCTCCCACGTGAAGTTTATCTCAAAACTTAACAGTCACAAGGGGAGAAAAAAAAAAAAGGTGGTCTTTTCTCTGACAGTTTCTACCCACTTTTAACTGTGGCTTGAAAACAATTGATCCTGTGCTCATTAGACAGGATTGCTTTCATTCTCGGTAAGCTCTGAAGAAATGGAAAGGCAATATTTTAAAAGATAAGGATCTAATTCTAGAAGTGTCGTAAAAAACAATTAAGCCCTGAGCATACATGCTTTCTTCAGCACCTTTTGCCAGGGCTCCAGCTTGTCGCTGAGTCAGGTGGCAGACAGTCATACGGTGTCACCCAGAGGCAACACTTCTTGTAAGGGAGGTTGCTCAACTCGAGCAGGGGTTTGGGCTTAGTTAGCAGAACAGCTTTTGTTTGCATATGCCTTGGTTTGTTTTTCCTTCTCAAGCAAGAGAAAGAAAACATTTAGCTGGCAAAAGCTTTATAAGAGTGAAGTATGTTTGGAAAGGAACTACTGAGGAAGGTTAAAGGATCTGTGTTTGAGGTGATGCTGGAAGTTCTGTTGATGAAGCATATGTCAAAGGAGGGATGTAATGTGAACTATGGCAACTGGGGAGCCCAAAAAGGGGGGAAATAAAGACAGAAAATTGTACGGGGATTCTCAGCTTGCCCCATCTGGTTACTCAGCCAAAATGAGCTCAGATAAAATAACTGAACCAGTGGAGAGCCAGTAGTGGGACAAAGGGTCTTGACTGCCCACTGTCCATCTGAACCATGGCCTGCCTCTGACAGCATGCCGGTCATCGTGACACCTGCTCATGTTCCCGTTGACTCACACCTCTTTGATACATCAGCAGGGGTATTTGGGGGGATTTTCTATTTTCTTACTTTTTTTGATCTTTCAAATTTTCCTCTGTGCTTAGCACATGGTTCCCCATGTGCTTAGCACAAGGCCTCCGTAACTTTTTATAAAAGAAACCTATCGGTTTCTCAAGAACTATTATAAAGCATGGCAACACCCTGGAGAGAGAGATAGGAAAATTAATAGCTTCGGGGGGCTGAAGCCATCGATACTTTACAGGTGGAAACAAATGAGAGGGTCACTTCTGGTTAGTAACTACTGCTTATACGTACAGACTCCCATGAGATTGTACCTGAGGTGCACTGGGGAGGGCAGGGCAAACACGGGTTGCGTTCTCGTCAGCCGGTGTGACCAACCAAAAAAAAAAATAATCTCACAATCTCGAGTAAGAAACAAGTACCAGCTACAACGCAGCATTCCTG